TAATGGTTCCTAGCATTCTGTTAGCTTTTTTGACAGCAACTGCACATTGAGCAAATCTTTTCAGGGAACTATCCACAATGACTCCAAGACCTTTTTTGAGTTGTAACAGCAAATGTTGACACTGTCCATTTGTATGTATAGTTGGGATTATTTTTTCCAATGGGCATTACTTTGCACATATCAACATAGAATTTCATCTGCTATTTTGTCATCCAGTCACCCCATTTAGTGAGATCCCTTTGTAACTCTTCACATTCAGCTTTAGACTTAACAGTCTTGAGTAATTTTGTATCGTCTCCAGTTTTTGCCACCTCACTGTTTACCCCATTTTTCAGATAATTTATGAATATGTTTAATAGCACAGGTCCCAGTACAGATCCTTAGGGGACCACACTATTTACCTCTCTCCATCGTGAAAAATGAGCATTTATTCCTATCCTTCGTTTCCTATCTTTTAACCAGTTACTGATCCATAAGAGGGCCTTCCCTCTTATCCCATGACTGCTTAGTTTGGTTAAGAGCCTATGGTGAAGGACCTTGTCAAAGGCTTTCTGAAAGTCCAAGTACACGATATTTACTGGATTACCCTTTTCCACATGCTTGTTGACAGCCTCAAAGAATTCTAATGGCTGGTGAGGCATGATTGCCCTTATAAAAGCTATGTTGACTCTTCCCCAACATACCATGTTTATCTGTGTCTCACTCTCACAGATCTTGAGAGACAGGCCAGTCCTTGCTTACAGACAGCCCCCCAACCTGAAGCAAATGCTCACCAGCAACCACACACCACACAACAAAAACACTAACCCAGGAACCTATCCTTGCAACAAAGCCTGTTGCCAACTCTGTCCACATATATACTCAAGGGACACCATTATAGGACCTAATCACATCAGCCACACCATCAGAGGCTCGTTCACCTGCACATCTACTAATGTGATATACGCCATTATGTGCCAGCAATGCCCCTCTGCCATGTACATTGGCCAAACTGGACAGTCTCTACACAAAAGAATAAATGGACACAAATCAGACGTCAAGAATTATAATATTCAAAAACCAGTTGGAGAATACTTCAACCTCCCTGGTCACTCAATTACAGACCTAAAAGTCACAGTACTCCAACAAAAAAACTTCAAAAACAGATTCCAAAGAAAAACTGCAGAATTGGAATTAATTTGCAAACTGGACACCATTAAATTAGGCTTGAATAAAGACTGGGAGTGAATGGGTCATTACACAAAGTAAAAACTATTTCCCATGCTAATTTTTCCCCTACTGTTACTCACACCTTCTTGCCAACTGTTGGATATGGGCCATCCTGGTTCTCACTACAAAAGTTTTTTTTCTCCTGCTGATAATAGCCCACCTTAATTTATTAGTCTCGTTATAGTTGGTATGACAACACCCATTTTTTCATGTTCTCTGTGTATATATATCTTCCTACTGTATTTTCCACTGCATCCACCCGATGAAGTGGGTTTTAGCCCACGAAAGCTTATGCCCAAATACATTTGTTAGTCTCTAAGGTGCCACAAGTACTCCTCATTCTTTTTGCTGATACAGACTAACACGGCTACCACTCTGAAATGTGTCTCAGATAATTCTTTTCTTTCCTATAGTTTTGATCAATTTGCCTGGTAGTGAAGTTAGACTTACCAGCCTGTAATTGTCAGGATCGGCTCTGGAGCCTTTTTAAAAATCGGCATTAATTTAGCTATCCTGGTTCTGGACCTTGTTCTTTTAGATATTCCCGATCATTAAGCACCCTGACTGAGCTGAGGGGGAGGTAGAGAAGAAACTGGGAAAAGGACAAGGACAGGCTAAAGGGGTGCCCAGGATAGTGTCACCATGTTACCCCCTCCCCATCTTAGCGAGAGAGAGATTTGCTGGTGCTAAACTGGGTGTCAGCTCCCTGACACCACCAGGCTATTAGTCACCCAAATAATTTCCTCATGGCTCTGCCAGCTCTTACTTTGCCTTGCAGGTTAACATCTGGTGTACCCCAGTCTCTAAGCTCCTCTGAAGCATCCCTCTGTAATGTCCAGCCCCTATCACTGGACACAGTAATTTGTGAGTCCCAAGAGAACAGCATACACACAGTTTGACTGGTACAACTCAAGGCCATGGAGATATAGCTACAGTGAAATAATCCTAAATTTATTATCAAAGATTAAGACTTAAGAAATAATGAGTAAGGATAATGACTGGAAACAGAAATGGTTACACATATAAGAAAAAAACATAAAATGCAATCCTAAGTCTACACTTATTAATGGTTACCACTCCTATTTAATAAAGTAGACTTTGTCCCAAGAGTTCAGTCTTTGACAGAGTTTCTGGTTTTCAGTCATAACCAAGCTCCAAATTTTCATGAACAACCCACACCATTCAAGGGATTTCCTCCATGAATGGATAACAAAGTGCTTTTCTTTCCCCCTCCTTACAGTCCAGTAAACCTTTGAGGAGCCCTTCTGTTGTTTGTTCTCCTGTGTGCTGACCCCCATGTTGACATCATATCCTTACTGTGATTTGGAATGCAAATGTAGCTCCCATTGTGTTTGGCTTACAATTCTTAATTTACATCAGAGATAGGAGTAGGTGAACGGCCATTCTTTTGTCTGGCAGAAAACCTGTTTATTATCTTTGCCTTGTTACACAGTTTAAAATATATTTTAGTAGGTACACATAACTTACACACCATCTGTAGATACATCTCACAATGCTAATGGTGACTAGTGTGTCACTGTGGCTTTCATTTAATGCCTTGATATTATCTGTGAATAAATGATATCGAAGTGTCATAGAATCATAGAATATCAGGGTTGGAAGGGACCTCAGGAGGTCATGTTAGATGTAGTGAGTTTATCAGGTCTGATAGGAGTTGCTGTTATAGAATGGTGAACCCTGGCATTGAGAAGTTCTGAGGGTTTCAAGGGTCCTGGGCAGAAGAGTCTATATAACTTCTAGATAATATTCTCCTTGGAACCTGGAGTAGAACATAGGATTCCTGAGTCATAACATTACTTCCTTTGTTGCACAAGTTGAAGGTATGTAGTGAGTGAGGCAGGAGATTGCAGGAAGAGTAAGGATGGACTCATGGTTAAGGCAATTAAATGCCACCCTGGAGAACTGGATTCTATCTCTGCCTGCCACAGATTTCCTATGTGATTTTGGGTAAGTCACTTAAGCAAAACTTTACACAGGTGGCCACAGTGTTCTTCATTTTCTAGGTGGCCAACTTGAGATCCTGAGGTCTAATCTGCAGAAGTGCTGAGCACTCACAACTGCAATAGATGTCTGTGAAAGCTGAGTTTTAAACATGTAAAGTGCTATATAGTGCTGTATACTCTGAAAAAGAATCAGATCCTAGGCATTGCAAGTTGGGCAACCAAAATTATTGGACATCTTTGACCTTTAATTTCTTAAAGGTCTTGGTATCGCAGCTCCCCATCTGTGAAATGGGGATACTCGCCCTTACCTCACAGGGATGTTATGAAAATTAATTAATTAATTTGAAGTGGGCAGAAACTATAGTGATGAGTGCCATAGAAAAGCCCAGGAGGAAATTTTTAATTCTATGTTGAGAACTGGGTTTGAACAGTATGCAGTAAATAAGGCTGCAGTGGAATGTCGGTAGTGGTTTAGAGACAATCTACTATGTCAATGTGGGCAGCCACAAGCTATGATACACATTGTTGAGAACTGCAGTTTCCTGGAGGTCTTTGTGCCTTGAACATCCTTGATAAGAATACTGTGGCTTGGCTTGACTGGACTGCGTATGCCAAATAAATAATAAAAAGGCATAGGGCCACATGTTGAACAATGAGGAGAAAACAAAATATTGAATAATGGCTAATAAAGCGAGTCATGTCCATTCTGTGCACTAAAAGAAGCAGGAGACCTGTGGCCATTTAATTAAAGACAGACACATAATGTATAAGCACAAGGAGTCATATTAAGGTTGCACAAGCAATCTTAATTCTGATATTTCCTAACTTTTGAGTGTGTGATTTTGCAACCTTAATAGTCTTTTCATGTCAGTCCCCCCCGCTTTTAATGGATTTAGATATATTATAAATCAGACATTGGAAATGGTTGCTTGAGAAATACAATTGCATTTTCTGTTCAAATGAGAAGCCATGGATGCTACCTAGAAATGAATGTAATCTGGCTTCCTAGCAACTATGAATATTCAAAATAGTGAACATTGTTCCCCTGTGAAAGATGATGAACTGTATGTGAATTGTTTTTTCTGTGACAGGGATCTCATTAGAAATTTGATGTTATTAGCAGTTTTCCTCAAATTGCAAATCTCCATCATACCAGTATTATGGTAATGATGAAATTAAATTAAATTAGCATATCATATACCATACTGCAAAAGTGGGAATACATTATAGTAATACAAGGCAACAGATAATTGCTATCTTAATAAGAATTTGTCCTCAGCAAAAATAATCCAGATTGTTTCTTCTTTCTATCATCATGGACAAAATTCATTCTTATTAGTGAAATCCTCATATTTTGTAAATCCAGTCATAAGTTCCACTTGGTTATATGAAACTGTTTTCTCAAGCCTAAATATACTTCATTCTGCACTGTGTACTTGTCTAAAAGCTACTTACCTGCATATTAATGTGCATGTTTTTGGCACCTGGTCCATTGAATGAGCTTTGGATCAGGCCCCTGGTTACTCAAGGTGCTTATTGTGTATATTTCACACAAATCTTACATACTCTCCATACTGGGTTTTTAAGCTTTCCTTTTTGTAAAAATCATATGACTGTTAAATTGTATTCACTAAAATAAATGTTTTCCCTGGTATTTGATTTTTTTTTTTTTTTTTTTAAAAACAGGGTTTGGGGAAATAATTTGATTTGCAGATATGTTTTCTATTTCTGTCTAATATTTTCCAGGCCTAGTGAAATTATTAGGTTGCTAAATTTACATTCACATCCACTCACTATTTGTTTTGGTTTTTATCTCTCTCTTTGCAGTTCCTCCGTGGTTTTTAAATCACCCTTCAAACCTCTATGCCTATGAAAGTATGGACATTGAGTTTGAATGTGCTGTCTCTGGTAAGCCTGTCCCTACCGTGGATTGGATCAAGAATGGAGAAGTGGTCATTCCTAGTGATTATTTTCAGATAGTGGTAATTATCTGATTTTTGTCATTGCAAATTCACTATTTGACTTATTTTAAAGTATGTTTTTATTTCTGATTTGTTCCTTCTTTTCATAACCAGTGTTTTAACTAGTTTAGCAGAAGCAGGAAACAAGCAAAACTAAGCAAAACTGATTAAAAATCTCTCCTGCCTCCTGGTGGACAAAGGGGATATGGCACCAGAGTGCACTGTTACCATCTGACCCAAAGCCCACTGATTTCACTGGGATTTGGATCAGGCCCTTACTCTTTCATTCAACAGTGGTTTAGATTTTTGTTTAGGCTCTCCTCCAGAACAGAGCATTGACCATAACTTCATGTCATATTTTCAATTAAATTATTATTTATCACCTATTATTGATAAAGTGCCATCAGTGTCATGTATGATGCTTTACTACAGACAAAAAATGATAAATCCCTGCTCCGAGGACATAAGTTAGTAAGGGATGACAAACAAAGGGAAGGAAGTGAATGTGGGCGGATGAAGAATACAACAGTGGTCAGTCATCAACTGTACTTATTGTTAAATGCACAACTTCTTAATCTGTCCTTCTAAAAATAGATATGTTTAAATTTGAAGATAGCGGATCAACAATTACAATGGAGGTTAGCGATACTTCACACATCTGCATGGGGCCTTTCTAGCTAGAGAAAACAGGCTGTGAGCCACAATGCAACAGCGGGGATAAACTCGGACAAAGGGGAAACGGGGCTTAATATCCTTAAGCCTCTGTTTTAAGGATACGCTGCAGTACGCATTTTAAGTAATCATAAGTGAGAAAGGTAGAGCTCTTAAAAGGGAGCTAACAAATGCCATTTGGAATTCACAGAAGTGTGCAGATCTTGCAGCTTCTTAGCAATTTCTTTTCATAGGAGTTAAAAGTGAAACAGATATTTCTGCCACAGGTATGACATTCAACTGGCATCCCTCCCTGCATTGTTTTCAAATCTGTTTTAGAACATATTTGCTGAACTTGATCTTTCAATGACGATCCATCAGTTTCTTCAAATGCAAAGTATTTTCACCACAATTACATTAATCATGATAATGGTCATTTGACATGACCATTATCATATGACACAAGTTTGTCGCCATAGCACATAATTGGTAGTGTGATACCATGTCACATTCCCATCTTTTATTACCCAAATAGCATTATATGTGGGGCATTAAAAGTTAAACATCAATGGTGGAATTCTCAAAAGCATTGGCGTAACTAGTCTCATGAAAGTTAACGATAGTTTTATCACTAATTTCAGTGGGAGCAGAGTTGAGACACGGTAGAGTGCTTTGGAAAATCTCATCCCTAATATATCTATCTTTTGTTACAGCATGATAAAAATATCCACAGGCCATGAGATAATATTTTTCTTTTGATGACTTTGGTATAAGAAAGTTAGCATGTCTCATTCATATAGATCAGATTGCAATATTTAGTGCCAATTTCCTAGTGAATGCCCATTCTAATCAATGAAATGGACTATGTTCCTGTAAATTAAACTTCTTCCAATGAATAAAGGTTGGTTTTTACCATATTTTTCTTGTGGAGAAGATTTACTCAGTTAGTTATATGGAATCACAAGTTCATGCTACTTTATGCAGCATCACTGGTTGTTATGAGGAGGATCAGACAGCAATCAGTGTACTTGCCAAGGAATGGAAAGTCCCTTTATTATTATTGTAATGTGGAGGGGAATTATCCTTTCAATTTTTATTTCCTGAAGAAATATTTATAGCAAGGGAATCTCTCTTGCAGCATTTTCTTATGCAAAGAATTGTCCCTTAGAAGCCAACATTTGCCACGTCACTTAATTCTGCTAGTGCTAGCAGCAGCTAAAACTGAAATCCTGCCCATCAGCAGCACACAATGAGTGACCCTTCTGTTGCTGCTGGTCTTTGGGTCTCATGGCATGATGTAGGATCTGACCTTCAGAATGCTGTTTATACATAAGGTACAAAAGTTGGAAGTTCTTTTTTATCTCCCCTGCTGCAAAGAGCCAATACAAAGCCCTGTTCCCCACTCAAGTCCCACTCTAGCTTTTAATATGGTGTTGAATTGTTGCATAAGGTGTTGGGCTGGCCCTCCTCTGTCCCAGCATGAATAAGGGCACAAGCACCATCCTTGTAACAGAGTGGTGCAAAGAGAACAAAAAGAATCAGTTGATTCCGATGAATGTGCATTTTATTACAATCCACTGGAGACAAAGACATTACGAACGGAGGCTGATGTTTCCTAGTACTCTCTGCTCTTGTTTCACAAACAAAATATTGTTGAAGCTCCTTAGTAAGCGACATTCAGTTTGACAGTTTTTTTCTAATTATTTCCCTCCCTTTCCCCTCTTTGTCTCTCTAGGGTGGCAGCAACTTGCGGATTCTGGGCCTTGTAAAGTCAGATGAAGGTTTTTACCAGTGTGTAGCTGAAAATGATGCCGGGAATGCACAGACCAGCGCACAGCTAATCATCCCTGAGCCGGGTAAGATACAAAGGACACAGAGAATCATATCAGTGATTAATACAATTAGCATAAATCCTAGTTGGGCATCTACTATTCCTCCCCCCACACTTTATTCTCAGCCATGTTAAAAAATATTTAGCTAGCTGGCTGGCTTGACTTATAACAGTGTGTTCCTTAGCACTAGGGGAGATGCAGGTCTGTCTTGGTGTAACCTTGAGACTCTCTGTCACTGGGACAATTACAGATGCTGGGTGCATCCCTGAAGTGACACTGGAGGTCAGAATCTCAGCATGAAAAATCAAAGACAGTGTCTTCCCTTTCAACCACTGGTTTCATCTTGCTGAAATATGAGAAGAGGTTGGGGATTATAAAGGGCCAGGGGGAGTGTGTGTGTGTGGAGGGGGGAGATGGAAGAAATAGTCCAAATGGAATGGAGAATAAAATATTGTATGCCTCCTCAGCGAACACTCAGAATATTTGTCATAGGGGAAAAGGTAGGTGAAATTTAGCACTGTGATGGTAGGGGTAGCAAAGAGGACTGATTGAAAGGCTGGTGTCTCTTATACAACAAGGGAACAAAAGTGTGTTTCTGTGGCCCAGAAATGAGTAGTTTCACAAGAATTATAAACTGTCCTTTCTTGTGCCAATACCGATGGGGTTTATTTCTTTATGGAATATTAAACTGTAAATACATAAAAACTATGTATTCATTTTAAACCAGGTAAGGTAAAACATGTATAAATGCCTTTAATGTGCTTTCTGTGTTTTATATGATAGTTATTTACTTGAAGTGGGTTCTGCTGTGTTTGTTAATTATGTAGAATTGTGTCATTAAGCTGTGAGCAAGTGAATATTCAGAAATATAGGCTACGTCTACACTTGGCGCTATGGCTGTGATTCGCAGCCCAGGTAGAAATACTTGAGCTAGCTCTCTCTGAGCTCGTGTGCTAAAAATAATAGTGTAGCTGCCATAGTACGATAAGTGATGAGGAGTGTCATGGGCTAGATGCCCCCAGCACTAACCCCACCTGGACCCCACAGGTACATATTTGGGGTGGCTACCCATGCTGCCATAGCTATGCTACTATTTTTAGCATGCTGGCTGGATGAGAGCTAGCACAGGCATGTCTTTGCCAGCTGGGAATCACCACCCTAGCTTGTGGCGTAGTTGCAGCCATAGTTCATTCACACCCTGACCTGGACTGGAAAAAGTAGAAAATTGGCAGTTCATAGTTGTTGATAGATTTTAAAACCAGAAAGGACCACTTTCATCATCTTGTTTGACCTGTTTTATAGCACATGCTATAGAATTTGTTTTGAAAAGTGTGCACAGAATAATTTTAAAATTGTAAAGCTTTACTTAAACGCTGCCATAATTTGAAAAAAAAACAAAAACAGTGTTCTCCACTAGTGGCCCATAACTACAGTAACACACCCACCCTCTGTAGTGTTTTAGACAAGTAATATGGAACACTCTAGTAACATTGTAATGTGTTGTTAAAGACCATTGATTTCCTGAAAGGCTATGATACTGCAAGCCTTTGTCCTGTGGGCAGTAATGTGCCAGGTAGTTGCACTGCAGTGCAAATGCAAGTGGTAACTCCAGGTGGGCACAACCAGGGTTAACTGCTAGGTCCTCACTAGTCTCGAGTCCCTGGCATAGCATTTCCCTCACAACAAGTACACACGGTAAACAGAAAAGGGAACAGGACCAATGTCCTTTCTCTATCTTTGTTCCTGAGTACAGAATGAATGACTGCTTGAGCTCAAATTTTAAACCTCTTAGCAGTTTGTCACTCCCATTCCCTCTCCCTTGCTATCCAATCCCTCCTTCATTCACTCATTCTTTCTCCGACCAACCCATGTCCAAAATGCAACTCCGGCAGCACCTGGGGAAGCCATGGATCACTTCCCAGCCCACATCCCAAGCCAGCTCCCTTGTGCAATAATCCCCCACTGTGAGCTGTGCCTGCTAGCAGGGGATGCAGCTACGCAGTGACATTGCTTCATGGGAACCCTGGACAGAGGCATGATTTTCATCCTCATTGTGGTAATGAGACACTTCACTGTGCAACTCTCCTCTTAGGCCTGACTCTTGCTATTAATAGACTGGATGTCTGCACAGCAGGATCAGGCTACACTTGTGCTCCCGGTATGGCTCATCACTTTTTTACTTGGCCTTTATGCACTCAGCACTCTGCATCTGCATAGTGCAGAATCAAGCCAGATGAGTATTTCTCTCCTTCTGTGCAGAGTGTTACCTTTCCGTTGGGGGAAACATGAACATAAGAAGGTGCTTAAAGAAAAAACCTTGGCACAGTAACTATACATAGCACATAACCCCACCGATATTTAAGATGGGCAGCTGGGAGCAGAACGATATAATGGTACCTAAAAATAACTTCATCCCTATTAAACATCATAATGGGGGGAAAAGAGGGTTTTTTGTGGGGGTGGGGGGGAGGAAGGGTTTGATTTTTTTTTTAAAGCTGAATCTTGCATTTAGCTCATGCTTCTGGAATATATTTAGACAGGTGCAACCCTGGAGAAAAGGGGCCATCGTGAACTATAATGTAGTTTTATTTATCAATAGGACCAGTCTAAAGGAAATGGGAGAATTCATTACTGTTTCCACCTAGATGTTCAAATGCTGTCAGTAAATTCTGTACTTTTGGTCAGTGTTTATTATGTTTGGCATTGGATTAGAATGAAAGTAAAAGAAAATGAAGACAAAATCCTAAAGAGCTACGGGATACTATTGTAACTGTCTCCATTTCCCTTTATAAATGATGGATTACTTTTTCCTAGCTATTTAATCAGATCTTCAAACAATGCCACTCCAATTCCTCCGAGATGTTGAGAAGGCCAGCATGCACAGATGGCAGAGAAGCCAACTATAAATACAAATTAAGTGCTGGGGCCGACCATGGTGGGAAGTACATAGCCCTCTCTGTTTAAATTTAGTCAATATACAGTCACCATATCTTTCACACTCAGTGTGAGCTCTGCACTGCACAGCTGTTCAGTTTTGGCCTGTCCACAGGCCTCAAACTAAGGGTTACCCCTAGCAACTGTGACAATCTGCTTCTTGTTAAGGCATAGACAATGACCTGTTAAATCCAGTATTCTCTGTTGGTGAGTATTTACAAGAGCCTAATGAAGTTTCAATATAGTCTTTTATAAATAGTTACCAACCCCTTTTTGTAACCATTAATTTTGAGGGAACAGAGTCCAAGACATGTAAAAGAGCTAACAGAGTTTTCTTTTTCTGATAGCCAAGATCAGGTTTATCAAAAAGCCCCTAGGTAAATTAATAATCTTTTTATTCCCTAAAATAACATTATGGGGAAAATAAATAGATGACCATTTATCCTCCATGAGATTCGTAAAATCATGGCTACTGGCATTTTAGTTAGTTGCAAATATTCTTGGCCAGCCTATGAACTTAAAATTAGGTGTGTCATCTATTCAAATGGCTGATGCATAGTCTATTGGAGATATCCAGTATAGTGTCTGGTAGGGGGTAAATCAGAAGATCTTAAAATTCTTTTCTGTCTCTAGTTACTGTGATCCTGCTCTGATACCAAATCTTTCTGTTGTCATTACACAAACATGTAGCTTGATCATCTGATTCTGAGCTGACTTAAACAGCAGTTACTCCTGGTATACAGGAGTAACACCACTGATGTCAACTATAAAACCAGTGTGAGATCTGATTCAGACCCATAAATTATGTTCAGTGTAAATACAGTGGTATGCTGAGTTGAAACTAGACAACACTGAAATGAGTAATGCAAGCTAAATGGGTAGTGAGTTTACACAGATTATAACCTTTCTTCTAGAATTCCAGATGGAATTGTTAAAATGTTAAATGCTATTTAAATATATATTGGTTAGACATTGGGGAGCAAGTGAGCCTCCTGGGAAAATTAACTGAAATTTTAGCTTTTAGCTGAGATAATAGTTATGGAGGCATTGTATTTAACATTTCATCATCTTTGAATTACATATTGGAGAAATTGCTCTTCTTTCCATAATGAAGGCTGCAATCATTGTCCTGTAATAACCATCCCCTTTGTATCCCTTAAAAAAATAATAAATAATCACTTTGTTTCCAAAATGTTTAACTCTATCATCTTCTGCAGCTCAGCTTTCCTGGGTTCTTCAGCCTCTGCCTATGCTCCAAAGCTACCCTGTTTTGTTCCTGCTTCCACTAAAGAAGGACCATCCCTGTGGACCTTCTATAATCTGTAGGATCCATTGTACACCTTAGAGGTTTTCTAGATAAAGCCCCCAGTATGTACTTCATGAAGAGAACAGGATGGTTAATAGTGAGGTTTTTGTTAGTGAATTATTTATTTTTAGAACTGTAAAAATCATCATTCGTACATCTAAAAAAATAAATATCATGGACATGCATAACCGCAGATATGATGGACATGATCCCAGAGGAAAATTCTCTCCAAAGAACCTGCAAACAATTATTATCTTAATGCCCATACTTTCACTCAGATCCGTCCTTCAAATAGCTTGGTGGAGGTGGGGGGGAGCAGCGGGAGGAGAATTATTTACTCCATAGTGTGCAAAAACAGATAAAGAAACTAATCAATATAATCCTGAAATAATCAACTCACATAAATGGATAATTGTCAATTATGTTTTTTAATAAATTCCTTGTTAAACAAATTTTAACTTATGGATATACACTTTACCATGGATACGTGAGAATATTATTTACCATTGGGAGCTCCAGACATTATAAGAAGTAGCTAACTTGAAAACAGAAAGATAAAGAAAATCATCTGTTACATAAAATAACTAGACAACAGGAAACTACATGGGCTATTTATGTTACACAAGGAGGATATACTGTACTGGAAATATTTTAATAATCAGTTATTTTGTGTCCATCCACTGCTACAGGAAATGGGAGAGGCAGTTTCAAACTACAGACTATGGAGCATTGAGGGTTAAAAAGAAAACTTTTGGCAAGCTTCACTTTAATTTCACAATTTTAG